TATTATATATATAAAATATATATATATATATATATATATATATATATATATTCATAATGTCAATATCATTTTTTTTAAGTTGCATCAGTAAGAATAAAGTAATTTATTGCTTATTTTTTCGAAAATTATAATATTGTGAGCTATTCAAAACTCTAATTAATAAAGTAGTTCATTTGAGAATTTAACATGATAGGGTGGAAAAAGTGGCTATAAGCTGCTATTTGGTGGCTTAATGAAGTAAAAAAAAAAACATCCAAGAGTTAGTGACGAAACAATTTTACGTGTAAATTTTAAATATTTGCCATTAAATACTGAAATGACTTTGACTATCACCAATCACCAATCACCATATTATTTTTGATTTTACTATTTACCACCGGTTCAAACATAATGGTAAGAAATGGAAAAAAAATTAGCGGGGAAAACGGTTTTATGTTTGGGCGGAGGGTGCGGAATCCAGAAGCAAGGAAAGGAGCAACAACGGTTTTCCATCTCATACCGCATAACCCAACCTATCTCGCTGCATCTCATTCTCCACTCCGCTGTCTCTTTCTCCGGTTAACCACCGGCGACAGAGGCACAGAGAACGGTATCATCCAATTTTCTATCACAATTTCATCATTTACATTTATTCACGCACCACTACGTACACATTTCTATTCTTCACTTTTTTGCAGGGGCTGAGACGCTGCGTTTGCCGAGTTATATTATTTTGAATGAAACATGAATAATAATATTGTGTGGGACAAAAACGGGACCTGTTGTTGCGACAATCGGAAACGTGCGCGTGTGAGGCGAATAATTTGAGTGTCGTTTCGGTGTTCTGAGTGCGTTTCACGCGGATGGTGAAGGCGAGAGATACAGCGTCCATGGCACAGGAACACGGAAACGCCGCTCAGGAAGAGAGAATCTTCGTTTCGATCAGAGTAAGGCCTTTAAACGAGAGAGAAAAAGCGAGGCACGATGTGTCCGATTGGGAATGCATTTCTGGCAACACCATCAGGTTCAAGAACAACGGCCATGGAGAACCGCGACCTCTGTCAATGGATACCTACACCTTTGGTAATAAACAAACATCAACGTATATGCTACTTCATGTCTATACCAATATCACGAGGCTTATTTCTTTTCTCTTTAATGTGAATCGTTGTATGTTATGGATTTTTTTAATTTATGTCACAGTTTTCCAGGCATTTTGTGATCACAATTCCTATTTTTTAAACGGTTTATTGGAAACAGGTAAGGTGTTTGGGGAAAAGTACAATACAAAACAGGTGTATGAACAAGGGATTAAGGAAGTTGCCCTTTCAGTGGTTAGGGGTGTCAACTGTGAGTAATCTTCTTTTTCTTGTTTCATAATTACTGATCATGTAATGTGTATATCATTGTTATGTTGGCTGGTGCTTTTTATTATTGTTATTACCTCCTGTTCTTTTTATAAGCAACATGTTATGTGTAAAATACATTATAACTTGTTTCTTGTAACACGAGATTTTTGAAGGCTTTCTCATTGGTGAAATATAATCTCAGCTAGCATTTTCGCGTACGGGCAAACAAGCAGTGGAAAGACACACACCATGACTGGGATTACTGAATATGCAGTAAGGGATATATATGAATACATGGAGAAGGTATAATAAAACAATGCAAATCCTGGTTTCACCTTGCCATGAAATGAATGGATGATGACGTTCTTTTACTGTGGCCAAAATGGTTGACATTTCTCGTTACGTTTCAGCATAAAGACAGAGAATTTGTTGTCAAGTTCTCTGCCATGGAGATATATAATGAAGCTGTCAGAGACCTTCTTAATTCAGGTGCTACTTCACTAAGACTTCTAGATGATCCAGAGGTGAATTTAGTAACATAATTCCCCTGTTCTTTAAAAAAGTTTCTGGCTTAGTTTTTTTGAATGGTTGAGAATGAATGCACCTCAAACAGAAAGGGACAGTTGTTGAGAAACTCACAGAGGAGACACTGACAGAGAGGAGACAGTTGCAGCACCTCCTTTCGATATGTGCAGGTATTGGGTCTGATTAATTTTACTGCTAATTTGCTTTTGGGTGCTCTATTTCAAGCCATGTCTACGTGTATCTTGCAGCTGAAAGGACAACGGAAGAGACAGCCATGAATGAAACTAGCTCCAGATCTCACCAAATTCTTCGATTGGTATTTATTTTATCACTAAATTACATGCTAATTGAGATAATTTTTCTCATTTTATTCCTAAATTTTCCCAAAATGATGATTCCTGCAGACAGTTGAAAGTAATCCTAGGGATTATGTAGACACCACAGGATCTGGAGCTCTCGTTGCCAGTGTGGTATATGATCTTCAACACTTTTTATCCTACACAGGAGTGTCTGTGTGTTAATTGACTGGTGGATGAAAATAAAACAAGAGTTGGTTTCTTTCTACAGAATTTTGTTGATCTAGCAGGAAGCGAGCGTGCTTCTCAAGCATTGTCAGCAGGCGCAAGATTCAGAGAAGGTAGCCACATAAATCGCAGTTTACTGAGCCTTGGAACTGTAATTCGGAAACTAAGGTAGAATCTCCTATTCCCCCCTACTAAGTTAAATTTTTTATCTACATGCTTCTTATTCTCTTTCAAGTTTGCTCGCGCTGCAATGACAGAATATTGATATAGTTTATTGAAACTGCTGCTTAAATGTTCTGCTTATGGGGTTGGTGTAGTAGTTTGAGTAGATGAGGAAATTTGAAGTGCCAGAATTCGTTCATGTTGCTGATATTATCTTTATTGCAGAACACTATGTTTCTTAGCTAGGATATTACAACTCACTGGTTTCTTCTTGTACCAAACATGGAGCACACGTAAATTTGGGTCAAGGAGAAACCTCACGCATCCGCTTGATAATACCCATGTTTGTTGCAATCTTCTAAGATGGGAATCCTAATTTATTCAAGACCAATTGAAACGAATTTGGGTTCTAGAAATTAAACTTTAATGAATTTTTGGGTTAGGGTTAGGAATTTAAGGTCATACTTCGGGTTTTTCTCAGTCGTCCAGTGCCTACTATATTTTGATAACAAATAACAGAAAAATGTCTTAACGTAAATTAATACTTTTCACACACGTTAATATATTTATATTAATATACTTTATTTTTAAAAATGACTTTTTTAAACATTCCTTAATTTGAATTCAGTCTGAAAAAATCACTCGGCCTAATTTAGTTCCAAAAGTGTGAAAGACATCATAAAATAGTTCTTAGTTCACCAAAATTACAAACACGGAAGAATTTAGGTTTGTTTGCAAAAATTTATAAATAATTTATTTGAACTTATATTATTAGTGGGTTATAAAAATATCTTATGATTAATGTTAAGATGTTTTTATTTTCGTAAATGTATTTTGGATCGTCATAAAAATCAAAATCACTTAAGGGATATCCGTTGAAAAATAAATTCTCTTCCCTATTTCCATTTGTAGTTTATTAAATAACTTCGTAAATGCTTACTCATTCATTTATTTTTTATTTTTTATCTTTTAATGGTATCTCATGGGTGCTTTTTAATCATGGAGTATTAAAAAAAAAAAAGACTCACTTACTTTTAGTTTATTTTTATAAGGGTAATGATTTTTAAACACACAAATAAATGAAACACTTTATAAATACTCTTAATTTATATTTATCTCTCATTTTTTGTTACACGTATCATCAATCATATCCATCGTTTAACTCTTTGTTTTCTATCTTTATCAAGGTAATAGACACCTCTTGTTTGTCTAAAACTCTTTCTTCATTTCATAAATTTTTCAATGTAACTTACAAGAATAAAAATATATTGGAATTTATGAAAAGACCCTTATTCCTATCCTAGTTGCTTATGCTTTTCTTTTTTCCTTCTTGTTTCCCCCAAATTAAACATTTTTTTTTCATTTCTTACCTAAATTAATATAAATATTAAGTGTTACACGGAACAATTATGATTATTTACTGCCAGTTGTGTATTTGTATTTTAATATTTTATCCTTTTCATGAATAAATATAATTTAATTGAATATTTTATATTTTTCTGTATTACTAGTAATTTTTGTATGTCTTCTAGAATACTGTGCAGTGATTGAAATAGTGATTTTATTTTAATATTTTTGTGATTTTTTTTAATCGTTAGGAATTGAACTTAGTAATAAGTGGTTTATAACACTAAGAAACTTTATTCAATTGTTAGATTTCTTTAATATATTTTTGTGATATATATAATATATAATATAATGTTAATGTATTAATTATTTACTTAGCTTTTGTTTTTGATCTTAATTTTTAAATTTTTAAAGTAGAAAAGTATCTTATAATTATTTATGTAACAATATATCCAAACACTTTAAAATTTTATGAATGTTTATTAACATCTATATCCAAATACAAAAAATTTATTAATTTTTAAGCACTTATAATATAAATTTTTATATAATACGAAATAATATCTTATTTAAGATGTTTTTTTTTCAAATAGCACCCTTAATTGTTAAGTTGTTTCCCTCCTCCTTTTTTAACTTATGATTAATTCAAGTGGTTCAGAATCAGTAATCCTTAACCTTTTGGTCTTGTCTTAAATATGGATTGTCTTAAATATGGAGTTATGACTTAATATAATACTATTTTTATAAGACCTAACATGGTAAAAACAAATTATATCTTATTAAAACAAATCTCTAAAAAAGTAAATAGTTTTACATAATTTTTGACAAAATCATTAATAACTTATAGTAAATGTAGAAAATGTTTAATTGAAATAAATGGAAGAATTAAAATATCTCACATTCATAATTTCGAATAAATAATTAGTTTTTTTTATAACAGTCAAAGTGTCTCATGTATTTATTTTTCAAATTTTATGATTTAAATATATAGATATCTAAATTTGTATGTTTTGTTGAAATATCAAAGTCTAACATGATCTCAATCTAGTTATTTGTTGGGACATTACTAGGTTCAAGTCCATGAAAGGATTAGCTTAATCAAAGCATCGGAGGATTAATGTTTATTGGTTTAAGAGGGGAGTAGCTAAACTGAATGAAGCACATCACTTGAAATATCTTGTAAAATTTATGAGTGATTGATATTGTTTTCGTTTGACATTAGGGGTTTCACACTCACATATTTTTATAATGATAAGATATTATTTATTTTAGGATAATGTTCTTACAATTTCTTTTTATATCACTTAAAAAGTTTTCTACCAATGGAGATAACTGTGTGTATATAAATTCACGTCTATCTTTTTGTTTGAACGATTGAAATTTTACTTGTATCCTAACAATCTTCCTTTCAAATAAAGGATCATGATTTACTTTCCTTTGCAGCGAAAGTGAATCCACAAGTATTATTCGATGGTGACTAATAAAGCTCAATCATATTTTAAGTACTTGCACTGTCGTTTCAACATGTTAACTCATGATGACAGGACACGTCTCCTAACCCTCTATAGGCCACTATTAAATAATATTCGTGGATTAATTTCTGCATTAAAGAGGATAAATCATAGTTCTTTGTTTGAGAAAAGAATTATTCAGATGTAAACAAAGTCTTACATAATTCAAACAAGAAGATGAATATAAATTTATATATACAGTTGTCTTTATTGATTAGAAATCTTTTGGATAATATTCAAAAATAAAATCACGAAGACTTTAATCCAAAATAGCCAATATCTTATAATTGTTGAGTGTTTGGAAACCCCCTTGTGCACATCAGGTTTGGCACACCAGACATTTTTGGGAAATCAAATCCAAGCATGGTCCATCTAGTGGGTCTTTTGACTGATTCGTCAAGAGAACAAGACTTCTTTAATTTAGCACCGGAGAATGCATGCCTTTTCCTGCAGCTGCTTCTCAAATTATTTGTTTTGATTCATTTTTTACTTTTTGGATATTCCTCGCCCACACTCTTATCATTGAAAGTTCTCTTACTTCTGTTATTTTGTAGTTCCTTCTATTTACTTCTTCGCTTCGTTACTTACCAATTACATCTATACTATAAAACTCAAAATTCTAAACCACAATTATTGAATGCAGCAAGGGAAGAAATGAACACGTACCTTACAGAGACTCTAAGCTTACTCGCATTCTGCAGAACTCTTTAGGTGGTAATGCCAGAACAGCGATCATTTGTACCATTAGTCCTGCACGGAGCCAGGTTGAGCAATCAAGAAATACTCTGCTTTTTGCTAGTTGCGCCAAACAGGTGACTACTAATGCTCGGGTCAATCTAGTGATGACAGACAAGGTTATGATAAGGCAACTGCAAAAGGAATTGGCTAGAATGGAGAATGAGTTGAGGAGCTTCACCCCAAATACCATGTTACTTAAGGAGAGAGAACTTCGGATTGAACAGGTGAGGGTAGATATTCAACAAATTGGCTTTTGTTTTAATTTGTTGTTTTTTATGGGGAGGGGGGGTTTAAGTATATTCTCAATAATATTAGCGTCGAGAGTTATGGTAAGTTGTTGAACAATATTTTTTACATTTTTGGTTCACCTTAAAAAATATATACTCATTGCTGAACTGGGTTAAAAGATCATTCACCAGCTTTGCTAGGAGTGAAAAAATAATCAGCCTGAACCGATCAAGGTACACAAATTCATTCAGCTATGTATAAACTATGAGTGCAGTTACATCTCCAAATAAGGTTGATTTTGCTTCAAAAGTGTAATAAAATCATTTGCATTTTATTATATTATTTTCCTTTTTACTAATTTACTCGGTAGATTCGCTGAGCTTAAAATTATCAACCCCTCGGTCATATCTAAAAGACATTGATTCAACAATCACATTTGAGACAACATATTTAGAAAAAGGAAATATAGAAAGGAGACAAATTTGATAGAGCATTTTATTTTCATAATCAGTATTCATTTTGTCCTTTTTTCTTCGGAAACGTGCAGATGGAGAAAGAGATCAAAGAATTGACTCAGCAGCGTAATCTCTTTCAATCTCGTGTTGAAAATTTGCTCGAGTCTGGTGGGAATGATCGACCTTCAGAATCGTCAGGTGGTGTTAATAATCTTCTTAGTAGGACAGACAGCGCATCAGAAAATCTTGAAAGAACAACAGCTACTGAGAATTCTGAAGACTACTTTCTTTTGGATGGCACTTCTCCCACGTTTGCTGGGCCTGATCCATGCCATGGTTGGGAGGCGATGGCCAGCAAAGCAGAATCTGAAAATAACTGCAAGAAATTGCCCTGTATTGAAATAAAAGAAGTGGAAACGGAGCACAAAACCGACGCTAATACGCCCCCAACTCCTGTTTCTGGAGGAAATACGCCTGTTCAAGTTGTCAACGAACATGGTCTGCAGCGAAAAACTGAGAGCTCTCAAAATACCAACGACTTTATGGTGGACTTCTCAAAGAAATCCAATGGGTCCCCTGAATCCGAACCACATATTTTGAATGCCATATCTCCTCAATCAGATAAGGTGGATCAGGAAACTTCAAAACGTCCTCAGATCAGTAATTTGGAGCAGAACGAGTCACCTCTGGAACCTGCCTCACCTCATTTCGATGTGCTGAAAAGGGTATCGGTCTCATTACCAGCTTTGGTCGAAAGGGAAAACTCTAATAGTTCGGTTTGCTTTGAGGACATGCCATCTGAATCGAAGTTACAAGCTATAAAAAGCGAGTATTCCAAAAAATATTCTCCAATTCACAAGAGGGATATTTCAGTTGAAGACGTAGAATCCTTTTACGATTCTGATGCGGAGGATACTTCCAGCGTCCTCAACTTTGTTGTAAGAATGAACGAAAGGGCTAAGCAAAAGCCATTGAACAAGGACATGGACGATATTATGGTAAGCACATACTAACGCATACTCTAATGCTGTATGTCTTTCTTGCGCTACTCCTCATTTAATATTACTTATTTATCAGGTACGGGCAAGGACATCTGGATTCAATAAACGTGTGAACAGAGTAAAAGATGTTGGTTTCCATGGAAATGAGGGGGTTTTGACGCCTTATAATCTTGAGAGGCAGCAGAGAGATACAATCGAACTTTGGGATGCATGTAATGTTCCATTGGTACATAGGTCCTATTTTTTTCTTCTCATCAAAGGTGAACTTTCGGATTCTGTGTACTTTGATGTAGAGCTCAGACGTTTGTCCTTCCTTAGGGACACTTTTTTTAGCGTAACAAACATTACAGCACGTGGTACGGATGTCACTCCTAATTCAAGGTAAAATCTTCGTCTGTTTCATGAGTAGAGTTTCAACATGCAATTCACATTTACATTTGCAAACATGATAGGCATCCACTGCATGTGTCATGTTTTTGTTATATATTATGCAACTCTGGAGTTTTCACATTTGGAGCTGAAATTTACATGTCATATTTTTGTTTTCTCCTTTTGACTGAACAGCCTGATGTCACTGAATCGTGAGAGGAAAATGCTAAGTAAACAAGTGCATAAGAAGTTCTCGAGGAAGGAAAGAGAGGAACTTTACACAAAGTGGGGTGTTGATTTGAAGTCTAAGCACAGAAGTGTACAGTTGGCATGGCGTTTATGGACGAAAACAGAAGACTTGAACCACGCAAGGGAGAGTGCAGCACTTGTTGCGAAGCTAGTTGGTTTTATACAATCGGGTGAGCCCCAAAAGAAATCATTTGGATTTGGCTTCTTATCCCGTCTTATGATCAGGGAATCTGATGGTTGGAAGGACACAACGTCTACTGTTTTATAGAGTCGAGACACATTTCCGCAGTTACACTGACTTTACATTCAGGTCGGTTCAATTAGCGTTGCGGTCTTCCCACTTTTGCCTTAGGTTCTGTTTGTACATTCAAAATAAATGTAAGATGATAGTGATTCATTAAAAGTAAATGCTTTATACATCTTTTCTTCGTGAATAAGATGATTGATTCTTTTTTCTACGTGCTTCTTTTTTTTAACAACCGAATAATTTTTTATGCAGGCTGTTTTTTTCCCTGTTCCCATTGACATCACTCCAGCGGGGGGAAACAGAAAACTATACAAAAAATATGAGAAAACTTATACAAAAAAGAAAGAGGTGAAAAGAAAAAGAAAGGAAAATGTAAAATAAAATGAGTAATGCAAGTAGGAAAAAAAAAATCTCTTTCTCATTCGTTTATTTTTTATGGCATTATTTGTCATATTTACATGACTGTGTCTAAATTTGTTCAAGTCTTATGTAATATTTTTATTTAAGTTTTACTGTAATATTTAATTAATTTTTATTTTATTCTTTTAATCTTTCGTATAAAATTTTGTTAATTAAATTTAATAATAATTTAATAATTAGGAAACTTCAACGCCTCAAACAATAATTCATTCGATTAGTATTTTGCAACATAATTAATTTCAAATTAATCTAAAAATTTAATTTAAAAACATATAATGAAAAATATTATTTATAATATTCTATTAATATAGCATGTATTTAAGAAAAATGTTTAATGATTATACATAGTTAGTAAAAAGTTTGACACTATTAATTAATCAAAATTTATTGTTTTTTTAATCAGTCAATTTATTGTTTTACACTCACATTATAACCTTTTTCTCTTAAAAAAAATAATAGTTAATTAGTTTTGTTAGTATTTATTTTTGCTAACTCATTGGTGCGTGATGTCTATACGAATTGTTCTTGAAATTTAAACTTCGTAGCAACTTCTGTCTATAAGGAAATTAATTAAGATCCAAATTCGTAGTATCTTTGTTAATGAAAGTGTTGAAGATGAGAGTATGCGCTTCAAACTTCAAAGGGGGCTTATTCTTCAAAATCCGCTTACTGGTGGTTGAATGCTGGTGTACGCTGTTGATACCCATGGAGGACCTTGGTCCTTAAAATTACCAGAAAATATAACCTTTTTTCTTTGGCTCTAGTTGGAACAGCTAATGTTTTGTGTCTATAGATATTTGTCTACTATTTCTCTTTGTAAACAGGTGTGGTGTTGCGGATGAAGACATTCTACACTTAATTCGTGATTTTGTGAAAGCCAAGCTAGTCCCTGGAAGACTGATGGTAATTTTCTTAATAATGACTGGTTCAGTGACTATCTTGGTAATCCAGGTTTATCCAGTTTTGGTAGAATCATCCGTGACTATCTTGGCCATTGGCTTCTTGGCTATTATGGATAGTGTGGTGTTACAAGAAGTCTTCATGCCGAATTATTAGTTTTACTATGGGTTAAAGCTTGCAAAGATGAGAGGTACACAACAGTTTTTTTCCATGGATATATATGGTGGAGATTATTTTAAAATTAAGAATTCAAGATTAATTTATATTACCATGTATGACTTTCATTTATCAAACAATATTTTATTACTGCAAGAATTAATGTTGTGAATATTATGTCAATCACGTTTATTAGGACAAATCTTATGACCGTTAGGTCTAGAAGCTTGATTACTTGTAAGTACACTTTTAGCTAGTTTATTGCTAATATATAACAGTTAATTTATGAATTTGATTCCATTAAATATATGTGCAATTATGGTTACCATTAAAGGTATATACATATTATAACTTTTATTTATATGTAAAAAAATACTTATCAGTTTAATGATTAAGTATTATTGGAAGTAAGGATAAAGGGTTCTATTCTCATTTTTAAAACATTTTGAAATATTTTTATCTTATTTTTTCGTATCATCTCATCATCTCATCGTGACACGTTTAAACTTGCAACATCTATCACAAGTCTATAACAAGATATATCACTTAATTTAAATTTAAATTAATTTTCTTTAAAAAGATATAAAAAAAATTAAAAACTTGTCCAATAAACTTGAGACAATAATTTTATTAGCCTTGTCTAAATCATGAACCTACATTTTATTTCTACCTATACTTTTCAAAAATAACTTTTCTATGATGCAATCTGAAAAATAGTGTTACATTAACCATTTATTTTAGGACAAGTGTTACGGTAAATCACTTTTGTAGGTGATCTACCATGATACGATATCTAAAGCCATTAGATTTATCAGCGGTATGTACAGTATTCTGATAAACTTCCTGCACTATTTTTTATTTATCTCCTCTATTAATTCTTTACTCTCTTCTGCTATCTTGTATTTTCTTTCTCATGTGTCCTTTCTCATCGATTTTGTCTCTCATCCGTCACCTTGCATTCTAGGTTTTTTTCTCCCCACTAGATACACCTTCCTCTATCTCCCTCTTCTCACCACTTACTCCATCATAATGGAACGATGAACAATAAAAAAAAATTATATCATAGAAAAATGATATATAGTTGCCTATCTAGTGAAGGATGATGATGTCATTTATGGTCACATGTCATTGATCCATCATCTCTCACTCCTCTCCCAACAGCCTAACCGAACCATGCATTGTGGTGGTTCTCAAAGACACCTTCAACACCCTCTCTTACCTCCACGCTCAAGACCATCTCCACATAGACATAAAAGTTGGCAACATCGTTGACTCCAATGACCAAGTCAAGCTCACGGATTTTGGCATCGTTGTCTCCATCTATGAGTCCACATGTCTGTCTCCCAAGTTCATTGATGTTGTGGGCACGCTGTATTGTATTAATCTTGAGGTGATTCACTACTGCAAGGGTACAATTTCAAGGTTGGTATGTACAGTTTCAACTTTCAAGGCTGGTATATGGTCCTTTAGGATAACAACTTTGGAGTTTGCGCATGGAATGCCTGGGAAGAAATGCCTAACTTGGACAATAAAAATTGAAACTGCTTTCTACCGAGAGCTTTAGTTAGAATATCTGCAGGTTGGGAATCAGTCCGAATGTATTGTGTGGAAATAGTTTTGGACATCACATGTTCTCGAATAAAATGGCAGTTGAGTTCAATGTGTTTTGTCCGTTCATGAAAAACTGGATTAGAAGCAATATGAATAGCAGATTGACTGTCACAATATAGTGTCAATGGCATGGAATGAGAGACACCAAGATCTTGCAGAAAAGCTTTGATCCATAGTAGTTCAGAAGTGGCAGCTGCCATGGAACGATACTCGACTTCAGCAGAGGAACGAGAAAGTGACACCCTCTACCCCGCATATCATAACACATAATAATAAAATTTGAATAATAAAACATTTTATAATTAAAAAAAATCAAACGGTTCAGATAGAGAGTACCACATGCATAACTTAACAAAATCAGCAAAATTTAAAAAAATAAAATAAAAGTAAAGTCTCCAAAAATAATTTAATAAGTGAACATTCTAATTTAATCCCATCTACGCCCCGATGTCACATGTCCTATCAGAGCAAAGCCAAACTCTGAAGCCTAAGCTTCATCACCTACATTTCCAGCCTCATGCTGATAATCACCTGTACAACAGTCAAAGGAGAACAACAAAAAGAAAAGGGAGTGAGAAACATCTCACTCTAGCTCACAGTGTATAAATACACACCGGATAGCCAAACACAAACAAGACAGATATAGCATAGATTTATTAATAACAATATTACATCTCACTCATCCAAGACATAAAAATATCAATTAATTATATAACATTGAAAATGCACATGTATGGACACGGACTACATATTATCATGCATGTGGCGCCAGTAAAGCATCACATGGCATATTGCCGCTAGCAATACACGAAGAGTAGTCTAGGAGAAGATTGTGCAACCTAGATAAAAGAATCAGATGATGGATAGTCAAGCATAAAAATGAAGTCTGCTCACGGACGGAAGAGGACTACCACCAGAATGAGACACTGAAGTATCAGATGAAGCCTATGAAGAATAGTCAAGGCAAGACACGAACCGGACAAGTTGAGACAGATGTAACAAGTGACATAGGAAACCGAGTGTCAAGAGATGAACAGATGGAACACGAATATGTGCTAGATGATCATAAAATATCCAAACAAAGTTGTGTCAAGTGCAACTATTCTGGAACACAGATCAGACAAGGCATATGTCTAAGGTTAGAAGAAAGTCAATCGTGCATCAAGGTCAAGAGTAGCACAGACTAAAAGATACTTTGGACGAATAGATAAGTTTGTCTGTAATATAATCAGGCCATATAAGACGCCAAAGCATCAACGACAGAATACTCAGATGGAGAACAAGACGTGAGATGCATGAGATTAACAGACATAGACGAAGACTACCGTGCAAACACTTATCAAGTCTCAAAAGACTACTCAAAGCATCGTCTATGATCACACAAAAGCTTTCAACGTAAAACACGTGATATAAATGAAGGAACAAAGAAGAAGCGAAGAACGCAAAAGCAGAGCATGCATGTGTAAGAAAAAGTGCATCGTTTTTTCAGAAAAGGACAATGGCTATATTGCTACATGACCAAAAAAAGACAAACAATTTCTAGGTCTCAGACATCACTTTTGTGAGTCCGGATAAAATTGATTATTCACACCTCCTCTCTCTCACCTTTTACCTTCCAAGACTATGATGACCAATGTGCAGTTTTTGGTGAAGAATTGTGCTCCAAGGGTTTCCCATTTTGTAGAAGAGATACAAGGATAAAAATATTTGTGTGCATGCAGATCGATCGGGAGCATGATAATGGTTGAAGGAAGAGCTCGGTCGAGAAAGGTAATTGAGGAGAGATAAAAATGAGAACAACCAAAAAGAGAAAACAAATGGCTGAAGAGGTGAAAAATTTGGTCCCAAAGGTGCATCATACGATCATATTCACGAGATAAATTTGATTATTTAAATTATTTGTGCACGGTAAACCAACTTTCTACAAAGTTGATTCACTGTAGCACTCACTTTTTTTTTTTTAGAAGAAAAAAAAGTGATGTATAAATTGTTATGTAAAGTTATTGTATAATTATTTACTATGCCAACCTTCTAGTTCCAAGACAGATGGAAAATAATCGTATTTTTTTCTTTTATTCAAAAAAAATAAATTTTATATTAATAAATTTACAACAATTCATACAATCCATCAATTAAAACAAATCACATAGTATTTAGTCATCTCTTATATAATGTTTGGTTGGAGGGAATGAAGATGAGGGGAACATTTTTAAAAACTTTTCTTATTTAGTTCTATCTTTAGAAGAGGGAATAGAAAAGCAAATCCATCATAACCCAATTTTGGATTCCCTTTCGAATGAGGAAATTTGGAGGAGAGATATTTTGAAATATTTTTAATATAATGTTCAAAATATTTTATTTAAGTTATTAAATTTAAAATTATAAAAATATAAAAGTAAATTAAATTTTAAAATCTCTTCATTTCTTTTGTGAATCAAAAAATAAAAGTTATCTTTTCTAAA